GAGAGTGAGTGAGTGACTGAGAGTGAGTGAGTGACTGAGAGTGAGTCGGTTTTTACTTTCTTACTTGACTGTGGAGGCGCTAGAACAGCGGTTCTCAACCTGTGGGTCTCGACCCCTTTAGGGGATCTAACAACCCTTTCACAGGGGTTGCCCGATTCATAACAGTAGCAAAATTACAGTGATGAAGTAGCAACGAAAATAATTTTATGGTTGGAGGGGTCACCACATCATGAGGAACTGTATTAAAGGGTCGCGGCATTAGGAAGGTTGAGAACCATTGCTCTAGAATCTACTGCAAGCTTCTACACATTTTTTAATAAAAAAAAACAATGGCAGGCCAGTGGCCGTCAAGTTGATTCCAGCTGTTGGCTGCCATCCCCTGGGTGGCAGAGAGCTGTGCTCCATGGGGTGTCTGTGGTTAATTTTCCCAGCAGTAGGCCACAGGGCCCTTCCGCAGAGGCGCCTCTGGGTGAACTGGAACCTCCAGCTTTTAGCAGCCAAACAGGTGAATGCCCCCGGCCCCACCCAGAGACTCCTCTGCATTGAGCCCTCCGTCTTCCTCCCAGGCCGTCACCCTCAGTGCTGGGCCTCGAAAGCCCTGCCCTGCCTTCTTCCCCTGGCCAACCCCTATCCATCCTGCACTTGCACAGAATACGCTTGTGATGGGAAAATCAAGTCCGTTTACCCTCTGCTCTACACTTCCCACCATGATTCCTACTTCACCCAGAAAGCCTGAGCCCCTACAAAAGCTCATAGACCCTTTCTTGCCAGTGACATTTCTGGACCAAAGATGATGGGCATTTCTGAGGGCCTTGATACATAGTGCAATATTGCATTTCTCTCTGAACCGTACAAAAGTATTCTCCTGTGGTGGTCTAGAATGCACTCCTGTAAGCCAGCAGTGGGCGCTTTCATTTGTTTAATCTTGACTGAGTTCATACATGATCATGAGCTGTTTTTAATTAGTATCTATAGGATGATCTGCAAAGTTGAAATTCTTTTGTTGACTAGCCAGTTATATCCTCCCTTTTATACAAACAGAGAAGCGTGAAACCGTGCTGCTCAGTGGCACTGTAGGCAACAAGGTCTTTTCGAGGCGTGATTATTGCTAATTGTTTTGGGTTTTTAAATTGCTAATTGGAAAGCACTTTTAAAAGGTCTTGTTTTGGATGTCTTCCCCTGATCTCCCACCTTCTCCCCACCCGTTTTCCTCCAGTCCTTTCCCATTCTGCCATCACTTCTTTCCTCCCACCCACTCAAACTCACCGCTGACCACTCGATGCCGACCCACCGTGACCCTACAGGACAGGGTAGACCTGCCCCTGGGAGGTTCCAAGACGGTGACTCTTCACAGGAGCAGAGAACCCTGTCTTTCTCCCGAGAAGCGGCTAGTGGTTTCAACCGCACAGTTAGCAACCCAACGTGTAAACACTACTCCACCAGGGGCCTCCCTCCACCAACTACTGGCCAATAACTCCCTACTGGTACCGACTGTGTGCAGGCCGCATCCTCAGTCCTTGGATGGCATGAATTTTCATTCTACACTAACCCACTCAGGTGGGCATCGTCCCCGTTTACACTTGAAGCAGCTGAGGCTCAGACTAAGCAGTTTGCAGAGGCATCGACCAAGTGTCAGTGCGGGAGCCAAGCCAGGTCTGTGTGTGCGGGCTGTCTCTTCCTGCCTGCACGATACACCCAGTGGATGGCTCTCCTTTTCTCTTCTCCGTTTATTTTTCCCTGTCAGAATCCTATGTCTCCCTTGGAGAATTTGTATGTTACATTCTCAACGTTTCTTTCTCCTGTTTCCTTTTGAGATGGGAAGCGGGCAGGGTTCCTTGGTCCTCCTCAGGAAACCCACTCGGGGTGGGGAAGCTGATCTCTGCCATCCTCGCTCCCTCCGTGTGGCCCCTTCATGGCGGCCTGAGGCTGCAGGGAGGATGGGGAGAGGGCTTCTGAACAGGGCAGAAGAAAAAGGTCAAGGTGAGGGTCTGACAGGAGAGGGCAGGGGTGGGCTGTGTGAGGCGGTGTCCTGAAGGGGAGGGCCAGGAACGGGAGGGAGAACACAGAGAAGTCTGTGTTGGTGGGGTTACCAAAGGGTTTGGGGCTGTCTGAGTGAGAGTGTATGGATTTAGGGAGCAGGATGGGTGCAGAGTCTTGGAGAAGCTATACCTGTGGGCCCCAGAGGTGGCAGGGACCACCAGAAGAGGCCCCAGAGAGCATGACTCTGCCGTCAGCAGAAGGCAGGGCTTAAGGGATTTGAAGATCCAGGAGACAAGGCAGGCTTGTCTGGATCCTGCCTTCCCAGGGCCCTTGAGTTCCCTCTCCCTGAGGGAGGTACAGTCTATTCAGAACAGGCTGGCCCTCCCCTTTAGTGTCACATGGGCCCGATGAGACAGGACTGTCTTCAGAATAGCTGTGTGATATTCATCGCTGGTGAGGGCCCGGAGCCCAAGACTTCTCTTTTGAGGAACCCATTCCAATGGAAAATTCCCTATCAGCCCAGCCCTCCTTACCCTCTCCACCGCACCAGAGAGGGTCTGAGCCAGCACACTGACCTGTCACTTCTAAGTTATGTGCCCCAAACCCAGCCCTTCTACTTCATGCCTCCTCAGCCCACCCAAGAGAGCCCTAAACCACCCTTCCCAGCCGAGGGGGCCAGCCAGGGTGGAAAGGACAGGCGGGCTCAGGGTGAGCACTGCCGCTCCCCCGGACCCCGAGGTGCCTTCCCCACAGCCTCTCCTCCCATCTGTGGCAGTGGGCAGCCGGGTGAACCAGGAGCTGCACTACACCAAGGAGAAGCTGGGGGAAGAGGCTGCGTACACCTCCCAGATGCTGATTCAGACGGCGCGCCGGGACGGGGAGAACGTCCTCACGCCCGAGGCGCTCGGCCTCCACCTCCAGGCAGCCCTCAGTGCCAGCAAAGTCCAAGTCTCGCTCTACGGAAAGTGAGTGGCTGTGCCCCGGCTGCTGCCCTCAGGGGGGCCCTGGCAGGTGACCCCTATGCCTCTCTGCTGACCCCTGTGTCCCTGGCTGTTCCAGGTCCTGGGATTTGAACAAAATCTGCTACAAGTCAGGAGTCCCCCTCATTGAAAATGGGATGATTGAGCGGGTGAGTGTCCAGCGCTGTCCGGGAGACAGATGACGTGGAGCCTTCTCTCCGGTCGAGGACGGTTCAGACGCTCCCAGAGGCTAACGGGCGGGTGGGATCGGGGGAGACCATGGGCACCCTACAAAGATTCGACTGATGTGTCCGGGGGTGTCCCTGGCAGATGATCGAGAAGCTGTTTCCGTGTGTTATCCTCACTCCCCTCGACTGCTTCTGGGAGGGAGCCAAGCTCCAGGGGGGCTCTGCCTATCTGCCGTAAGTGCCCCCTCCCTGCTCCCGAGTCCCTGCTTCAGCAACTCTGGGGGATCCCTTGAAAGGAAGGGGGATGTCCATCCACCCAAAGTCCTAGTCCTCTTCATGCCAGGGTCAGGGGTCGGCCCCCACAAGTCTGTCCACAGCTCCTTCTCTAGCCCCTGAGATGGAGGGCGCGACCAAAAATCTGTCAAGTCTCAGGGAAGACTCTGGGAAGGAAGGGAAGCTGGCTAGGTGCCCAGACCAGAAAGAAATCATTACAGGTATTGGAGCCAAAGATAGATGGCTGGGCAAGAGGCCAGGGGCTTTTCTGGCCCCGTCTGTGTATTACTTACTGCCCGTCCTGATGTCTGTCTCAGCCCATGCACCTAGTGCAACCTGGGAATTCTGGATGGGAGGAGGTGGGAGACAGCATGGGTCCCTGATGCCCACCCACCCTGGGCTTCCCCCCCACACACTCCAGGGGCCGCCCCGATATCCAGTGGACCAACCTGGATCCAGAGCAGCTGCTGGAGGAGCTGGGTCCCTTTGCCTCCCTCGAGAGCTTCCGGGAGCTGCTAGACAAAGCACAGGTGGGCCAGGCCTATGTGGGGCGGCCCTGCCTGCACCCCGATGACCTCCACTGCCCAGCTAGTGCCCCCAACCATCAGAGCAGACAGGTAGGTTCCAGCCCAGGGCGGGGCTTGTACTACTCCCCCACGAGTCTTCTGTTCCTCTGCCCCCAATTTCCCTCATTGTGACCCCGCCCCAGTTGTCAGGCACCTAGAAAGTTCCCTTTCCACAGAGGAGTTTCCCTAAGGGACCCAGTGAGTTCCAGACAATGCTAGATTTTATCACAATGAACGTGTGCTGGGAACGTACAAACACGGGAGCCAAGTACTCCTGTTACACCTTACTTCCCAAGTATGCACGTGGCCCTGTGAACATGGTACCCAGGCAACCCTGCTGCTGTGGAGTCCAGACTGGCTCTTAGCGACCCATTAGGAGCAGGGCTGTCCCGGGAGGTTTCCAGGGCTGTCCTTTTGGTGGAAGCAGACTGGTGGGTTCCAACCCCCATCCTTCCCTTTAGCAACTGAGCACTTGAACCACTGCACCACCAAGGGCCCTTTGTGGACCCCAAACCCACCAGCTATGCCAGCCCCTCCCAGTAACCACCTCTTTCTCGTTCTGTGGCCCCTGCTTCCTCTTGTGGCCACCTTCTACAAGTACCAGCCTGTCCCTTCCAGGGTAGGCAAGAGCTGCCGCAGGCCAGGTTCCTGGAGGTGTGAGGCCAGGGACCCCTGTCATCCACAGCTGGAGTAACAGAGCCCCTCCCCTGCCCCCTCTAGCCTCCCAACGTGGCTAAAGAGCTGAGCGGGGGCTGCCACGGCTTCTCCTACAAGTTCATGCGCTGGCAGGAGGAACTGCTGCTTGGAGGCATGACCAGAGACCCTCAAGGTCAGCTTTTGAGGTAGGGCCTCCCTTGGGAGTTGGTGAGGGGACCCGGGCATGGGAATGCACACTCTGGTGCCAGGCAGCTGGCCCCATGAGAGAGCCAGCTCTGACCTCTAGTTCTCTGGGACCTCCCCCCCCCACACACACACACACACCCCAGCGCCGAGGCCCTGCAGAGCACCTTCCTGCTGATGAGTCCCCGACAGCTGTACGAGCACTTCCGGGGCGACTACCAGACACATGACATTGGCTGGAGTGAGGAGCAGGCCGGCGCCGTGCTGCAGGCCTGGCAGCGGCGCTTTGTGCAGGTCTGTGGTCCGGCTCAGGGTGGGGGCTGCCTCAGACTCCTCCTCCTCCTCCTCCCCCTGCTCAAACCCACCGTGTCTCTCCAGCTGGCCCAGGAGGCCCTGGCGGAGAACGCCACCCAGCAGATCCATGCATTCTCCGCCACCACCCTGGATGACATCCTGCGAGCCTTCTCTGAAGTCAGCACCGCCCGCCTGGTGGGAGGCTATCTGCTCATGGTGGGTGCTGCCCCCCACCCGCCCCCACCCGAGCACACCCTGGGAAACCCCCGTGTGAGACATGCCCTCTCTCCCGAAGCTGGCCTATGCCTGCCTGACGATGCTGCGGTGGGACTGTGCCCAATCCCAGGGTACCGTGGGCCTGGCCGGGGTGCTGCTGGTGGCCCTTGCCGTGGCCTCGGGTCTGGGGCTCTGCGCGCTGCTCGGCCTCGCCTTCAATGCCGCCACCACCCAGGTACACCAGGGCCCCAGGGCACGCTCGGGGCCCTACAGTCCACAGCCCAGCGCCACACTCCCTTCAGCAGCGGCCCCTCTGCCCGTCCAGGTGCTGCCCTTCTTGGCGTTGGGCATCGGTGTGGATGACGTCTTCCTGCTAGCACATGCCTTCACTGAGGCTCCCCCAGGCACCCCACTGCAGGTGAGCCCCAGCTTCCATCCTGTCCCCCTCGGAGAAGGGTGAAGATCCTTGAGGTTCAGTGACCACCTCAGGCCGGCAGTGAACTTCTCTGGGCCTCAGGCTCCCCATCTGTAAAGAGCCCTTGTAGCCCTCAGAGCAGGTTGCTTAGAGCAGTCCAGACAGGCTTGTTACTTAGTCTCACCCACCTTCACCGCCGCGCCCCCTGCCCTCGTCCCTGTGCAGGAGCGCACCGGTGAGTGTCTGCAGCGCACCGGCACCAGCGTGGCGCTCACATCCATCAACAACATGGTCGCCTTCTTCATGGCCGCCCTGGTGCCTATCCCTGCACTGCGCGCCTTCTCTCTGCAGGTGAGGCCTCTCACGGGGACCCAGCTGGCTCGCTGCGGGTCGGGAGGGGGACGGCGCTGGCCCTGGGGCAGGGTTCATCCAGCCTTTGTGCCCCTCTTGTCCACCCCCAGGCAGCCATAGTGGTTGGCTGCAACTTTGCAGCCGTGATGCTTGTCTTCCCAGCCATCCTCAGCCTGGACCTGCACCGGCGCCACTGCCAGCGCCTCGATGTGCTGTGCTGCTTCCCTAGGTACCCCCGCTGCCCCTCGCAGGCCCCCTTCCTCCCGGCCCCGCCCCGGCCTGCTTGCCCCGCCCACTCCAGGCCCGCCTTCCTCCTGGCCCCTCTCCAGCCTGCTTGCCCCGCCCACTCCAGGCCCGCCTTCCACCCTGGGCCCGCCCCCACCCCCACCCCTGCCTGCCTCGCCCCAGCATCCCAAGTCATCCTCTTGTGCCTTTGCAGCCCCTGCTCCACCCGAGTGATTCAGATCCTGCCCCAGGAGCTGGGGGACAGGGCAGTTCCCATGGGCATCACCCACCTGACCACCACGGTACAGACCTTTACCCACCATGATGCCAACAGCCAGCATGTGGTCACCATCCTGCCTCAGGCCCACCTGGCACCCCTACCTTCAGACCCACTGGGCTCTGAGCTCTTCAGCCCAGGAGGGTCCACACGGGACCTTCTAGGCCAGGAGGAGGGGACAAGGGAGAAGACAGCCTGCAGGTCCCTAGCCTGTGCCCACTGGAACCTGGCCCATTTTGCCCGCTATCGGTTTGCCCCCGTGCTGCTCCAACCACACAGCAAGGTTAGCTCCAAGGCTGACCGGATGGGTCAGGCCAAGGCCTGACTGTCCCAGGGCCTCAAGGCGGGTGGAGGGGCTGCGGGGCCCCCAGGCTCTCGCTGAACTGCCATTTCCCACAGACCCTGGTGCTGGTGTTCTTCGGTGCTCTCCTGGGCCTGAGTCTTTACGGAGCGACCCTGGTGCAGGATGGCCTGGCCTTGACCGACGTGGTGCCTCGGGGCACCAAGGAGCATGCCTTCCTGAGCGCCCAGCTCAGGTACTTCTCCCTGTATGAGGTCGCCTTGGTGACCCAGGGTGGCTTCGACTACGCCCGCTCCCAGCGCGCCCTCTTCGATCTGCACCAGCGTTTCAGTTCCCTCAAGGCTGTGCTGCCCCTGCCCGCTACCCAGGCCCCGCGCACGTGGCTGCACTACTACCGCAACTGGCTCCAAGGTCAGAGTGAGGGCACCACGGGGAGCGGGGGTGGAGAAGCCCTGGGCCGCAGCCCAACACCCTCTCCGTTCTCCCCAGGAATCCAGGCTGCCTTCGACCACGACTGGGCTTCGGGGCGCATCACCCGCCACTCCTACCGCAATGGCTCTGAGGACGGGGCCCTGGCCTACAAGCTGCTCATCCAGACCGGGGACGCCCAAGAGCCACTGGACTTCAGCCAGGTGTGGAGCAGGCTGGGGGCCGGGCAGCAGGGCACGGGGCCAAGCCTGGGGAGCGAGGCAACTGGGGCTGCCCCGACCCACTGGCAGCTCTCTCTGCCTCTGCAGCTGACCACCCGACAGCTGGTGGACCAGGAGGGCCTAATTCCCCCGGAGCTCTTCTACATGGGGCTGACCGTGTGGGTGAGCAGCGACCCCCTGGGCCTGGCAGCCTCGCAGGCCAACTTCTATCCGCCGCCCCCCGAGTGGTTGCACGACAAGTACGACACCACCGGGGAGAACCTTCGTAGTGAGTCTGGGGGCACCTGGTGAGAGCATCGGCCTCAGCCCACGCCAGCCCTGCCCCTGGCCGCCCATGCTTACTGCCCCCTCTCTCCCGCAGTCCCGGCTGCCCAGCCTCTGGAGTTTGCCCAGTTCCCCTTCCTGCTACGTGGCCTCCAGGAGACTGCGGACTTCGTGGAAGCCATTGAGGGGGCCCGGGCAGCGTGTGCGGAAGCAGGCAGGGCCGGGGTGCGTGCCTACCCCAGTGGCTCCCCCTTCCTCTTCTGGGAGCAGTACCTGGGCCTGCGGCACTACTTCCTGCTGGCTGTCTGCATCCTGCTCCTCTGCACCTTCCTCGTCTGCGCCCTGCTGCTGCTCAGCCCCTGGACGGCCAGCCTCGTGGTGAGTGCGCCCCGCCTGGCCCCCTGCGCTTCCCCTGCTGGGGGCCTGGCTGAGCCCTGCCCTCCCCAGGTGCTGGTCCTGACAATGATGACCGTGGAGCTCTTTGGCATCATGGGTTTCCTGGGCATCAAGCTGAGTGCCATACCTGTGGTGATCCTCGTGGCCTCTGTGGGCATCGGAGTTGAGTTCACAGTCCACGTGGCCCTGGTGAGCTGCTCAGGCCCCTGGGGGGCTGGGGGGGGGGCCGGGTCAGCTCTTACTGATTTCAGTAGAAATTCATCAAGTACCTACTCAGTACAGGGGCTCCTGGGACGGGTCTCTAATGACACTGTATGTAATCCTTACTTTCAAAGGAGTGTGGTCTCGGGGTTAATCAGAGTTGGGCAACAGACAAATGGGCAGGCAGGTAGTTCCACTGAGCAAAGACAGGACTTTCTACTCCTGTAAAGAGTCTCGGGAACCCACAGGGGCAGTTCCAGCCTGTCCTATAGGGTCACTGTGAGCCTGCATCCACTCGACGGCAGTGAGTTGGGAGTTTTAGAGAAACTAGAACTGAAGAAGGCGTGAGCCTCCCTCTCCTAAGACTTCATGCTCCCTGGTGGGAAGTGTAGATGTGGGCACAGCACTGTACCCAGAGGAGCTGTGGCACCTACCCCCCAAATAACTCCCTTGAGAATAAAAACCCAGCCTTCAGAAAAATACAGGGAACTAGACATCCTGTCAGCTGCCACCCAGAGAGGCAGCTCTGGGCTTTCTATGCTCGACCTTCTAGACCAGGGCCTGGTGAGCTGTAAGGTCACTGTCCCTCCTGGCTCTGCCTCAACTCCACCATTGAAGCACTTGCAGCCAGAGGTAGTAGGTGATGAAGGCAGGTAGCTGTGTTTCAATAAGACATGGGCAAAAACAGCTGACGGGCTGTAGGGTACTGACCCCTCTCTGCCTCTGGTCACCCCGGTGCCTGCTTCTTGGCTATCCCCATGCACTTGGGTCTCTGGTCATAAAGCAACAGTTCTCAACCTGTGGGTCGTGACCCCTTTGGGGGTCGAATGACTCTCACAGGGGTCTCGAGATTCATAACAGTAGCAAAGTTACAGTGATGAAGTAGCAAAGGAAATAATGTTTTGGTTGGGGGTCACCACAACCTGAGGAATTGTATGAACGGGTCGCGGCATTAGGAAGGTTGAGAACCACTGCCATAGAGCTTTCCGTTGGCTGAGAGGGCCCTGGGGATGCAGGAGTGGGAACTGGGCCCCTGGCTGAGCTGGCTGTGGTCATGTGGGAACGGTTTGGGGACCCTTTATTCCTCCAGGGCTTCCTGACCACCCAGGGGAGCCGGGACCTGCGGGCGGCCCGGGCCCTGGAGCACATGTTCGCCCCAGTGACTGATGGGGCCGTCTCCACGTTGCTGGGTCTTCTCATGCTTGCTGGCTCCCACTTTGACTTCATTGTGCGGTAGGAGGGGCGGGGTAGGGGCGGGGCTCAGCCTGGGGGTGGGTGGAGCCTGCAGGCCGCAGGCTAACGGCCACCCCCACCCCACCCCCCAGGTACTTCTTCGTGGTGCTGGCTGTGCTCACGCTGCTGGGCCTCCTCCACGGACTAGTGCTGCTGCCCGTGCTGCTCTCCCTCCTGGGTCCCCCACCGGAGGTAACTACGCCCCCAATTCACAGGGCCTCCCTTTGGGCATTGCCTGCTTCCCCCGGGGCCCTGTGCCCTGCACCCTTTCTGTTTTCTTTATGCGAATCCCCGCCACCTTTTAGGGCCCAGGGGAGGGGGCAGAGATGGTGCCAGGGAGCTGCCAAAGGGACAAGAGGCACCAGGAGCCCTAGAGCTCACTGGGCTGGTGTCCCCTCCAGGTGGTACAGGTGTACAAGGAGAGCCCAGAGGTCCTGAACCCCCCCACTCCACGAGGAGGGCTCAGGTGGGGGCCACCCACCACCCTGCCCCAGGGCTTTGCCAGAGTGACTACCTCCATGACCGTGGCCCTGCACCCACCTCCGCTGCCTGGTGCCTACACCCACCCAACTGCCGAGGAGCCTGCCTGGTCCCCTGCCGCCAACCCAGCTGCCAGCACCCCTGGCAGCCTCAGTCCCAGGGGACCCTGTGTGGCCACCAGGTGAAAGGGAGCTGACACCACTGAAGCAACAGCTCGAGTACTGAATTCAGGGTGACCCCTAGGGGGTCCTGCTGCTACTGTGCATCATCGCCCCCACCTCAATTCTCATGCTCAGCCATCCTGGAGCTCCTTGGTCCCCACCCACCCAGGCTGTGAGTGGACCCGCACCTCCCAGGCCCTGTGTGAGTGGAGTGTATCTCTTTCGGGGGCGAGAACCTGCGTGTGAGTGAGCAGATGTGCACCTTGTGTGTGAGAAGTGCCTGACCCTGGAGGGGCAGTTTGAAGCTGCAGTGCAGCCCTCCCCTCCCCCCTGCCCCTCACTGCTTGGTGACCCTCCCTACAGGAAGGCCCTTTATCCCTGTCTACCTTCTGTCACCTAAATTATTTATATGGAGAGGTTTATTTTTGTAGTTTGAATAGACGTTAGCTCTGCGGAAAATTTTATTTTCAAGAGTAAAATATATTCTCTGAACGACATCATCTCGGAGGATTCTCGTGCCTGTCTTTCTGCCGGCAGACTTGGGAGTTGGCCGGTGTGGCTTCCACAGTGGTGGCGGCGTGGCGGGGCCTGAGGCCCAGGGAAAGAGAAGATCCGCTTTCTGAATCCTCATTGCAGCAGCTTTGGCCTGGGAGGTTTAGTCACCAAGCGAGTGACGAAGAGAAGCAACCAGTATCCATCCTTTGGTCAGATGCTTGGCGATAGGATCTGAGTCAGTGCTCACAAAGGATGCAAACTCGGGTGTGTGGGGGGGTATCACTCAAGCCCTGTTGGGAGCCTCAGAGCCATAACCCAGCCCCCCCTGCCCCTGCGGGCTCATCACCCCCTCCCTGTGCCTGGCTCTGGGAACCCAGGTGGCAGGGAAGCTGACAGGGAACAACACAGTTGAGGTTGTGAGGGGGGGGGAGCATTGATTAGGAGGTTTAAGGATAGAAAGGGCCAAGGGCTCACAGCCACCTCCCTGGCTAAGATAGCTGGTGGCCTGGGGCCTCAGAGGTGGACACCAGGGGATGTGGTGGGGCAAGATCACCAGTCATAGTGACCGCACACATCAGAGGAGAGCTGCCTCCCAGGGTTCTCAACATAGATCACCAGGCCTTCTGTCCCCAAGTGCTACTCTTTCACCGCCATCAGGTTGAGCCCAACTCAGCAGCCTGTAGGCCTACAGTGTGGGGCAAAGTAGAGCCGCCGGCCCTCGTGAGATTCCCAGGATGTAACTCTCGGCAGTGGAACGCTCCGACGTCCTCCCACAGGGCAGCTGGTGGTTTCAGACTGCTGACCTTGCAGTTAGCCCAGTGCATAACCACTGCAACCCTGCGCTCCTGTGGGGAACTGCCCAGAAACTAAGAGTCTGCTTGTGAAATCAAGGGCTCTGGGTTAAAACTAAACTGATGGGCCCTGTTTTACTAAAACCTGGGTGACAGACCACACCCGGGGCCTAGAGAACGGAGCCTCTCCCCATGGGGTGGGGGAGGCCTCTTATCATCCTTCCCCAGCACTTGCCCGGGCTCCTCCTCAGCTGTTAACAGACACGTACACACCCTGCTTCCAGCCACCCACGCACCAAGTACAACCCCACCCCGAGAGCCCTGCCCTCCGACACGCCAACCCACCTCCAGGATCTGCTCCCCGCTAAAAGCCAGAGAGAAAATCGTAAAATAGAAAAAATGAAAACCTGTGAAACATGAGGGTGTGGCAAAAAGTACTGCTACAAATTCATAGAAACCTTTATTTAAAACATCAAAACATGAAACTATTATTTCTTGGCCAATCCTCCATCTGGGTCTCTACCCACCTGAAGGCAGTGTCTCCATCCCACCCTACCCCGAAGAACCCTGCCCCTTTGGTTTCCACCACGTCTGCACAGCCAAAGGGCTCCTTCAAGGGACTCGACCCATGTCTTTAAAAACGTTCTTTGAATCTGAGCAACAGAAAGTCTGAGGGGGCAAGTTGAGGGCTGCGAGGTTGGCCGGGCAAGGTTTCCCAACAAAATCCTCCCAGGACGACCTAGAAGAGGGAGCAGAGAAACCATTCCCTCCAGCCAGCTGCCCGGTCCTTTTCTCACCAAAGCAGACTTCCAAGTTCTTAAAGTTCCTTCATCGTGAGCCCCCATGCCCATCCTGTGTGCTCCAAGAAAATCCACCAAGACTACGCACTTGAGACGCCAACACCTGAGCTGACCTTTCTGCCTTGGGTTGTGCTGGCCCAGCCTCAGAAGCCACTCTTGATTAGACCTGGTTGTTGCTGGAAGGCACCCTAAGGAGGCTGAGCAAGTGTACAGCTGGGAGGACTTGCCTGCAGCCGTCGCTGACGGCAGACACATGCTCTAGCACGTGGTGTTTGGAATAAGTCACGCATGTGTTCTGAAACAGGTAGTGGTTACCCATTGGGCTGTGATCCACATGGCCGGCAGTTTGGAACTACTAGCAGCTCTGTGGGAGAAAGACTGGGTTTTCTACTCCTGTAACCAGTTACAGTCTCCGAAGCCCACAGAGGGTCACGATAAGTCACCCTGGACCTGACGGCAGCGAGTTTGGTTTTATCTGAAACAAGAGCCCCGATGGCGTCGTGAGTCTGAGTTGGGCTGCTAACTTCAAAATCAGTAGTTCTAAACCAGGAGTTCTAAACCAGATGTGGCTTTCTACTCCCCTAACGAGTTAGCTACCCTGTCCTGTCAGGTCCCCGTGAGTGGGAATTGACTAGGGGCAGTGAGTTTGTATGGAAAGCAAGACAAGCAGGCAGCAGGCTTGGAACCTAGAGGAGGAGGGGCATTCAGCACAGCCATGGGGCCTGAAGTGTTTGGGGAGGAGGCCCAGTGGCACGGTGGTTAGGCGCTCCGTGGCCAACAGAGAGGTGGGCAGTTGGAAACCAGCGGCTCTGTGGGAGGAAGATGTGGCCACCTGCTTCTGCAGAGACGTTCCGCCTCAGGAAGCCTGCGCCCCGTTCTCGTCTGCCCGTCCCACAGGGTCATGATGAATAGGGATGGGTCAGCCCTTCAAACCCCCAGCAGCTCTGTGTGAGCAGAGACCTGGGATCCGTGCTCATAAAAATGACAGCCTAGGAAACCCCGTAAGACCCAACATGCACTACCGCCATCACGTAGATCCGACTCATAGCAAACCCTGTGAGACAATAGAGCTCCCTGAGGTTTCCGAGGTGGGACATCTTTGTGGGGCAGACAGCCTCCTGGTCGCTCCCAAAGAAACGTGCCAACCTTGCAGTTAGCAGTTCAATGTCTCTCCCACAGCACCACCCCCAGAGCTCACCGTGAATTAATTGACCTCGTGGGACACTACAACAGCAGGGTTTGGGTTACAAAGTAGAAGGGGCTTGGGGGTCGGGGTGAACAGAAAGCTTACCAGGCTAGAATAGTATAACCTACTGAGCTACTTGGAGCCCTGGTGGTAGAGTGGTTACATGTTGGGCTACAATCGGCCTGGTCGGCAGTTCGGAACCAACAGCCTCTCCGAGGGAGAAGGACTAGGCTTTCTACCCCCAGTGTTGCCCTCAGGGTCTGCAGCTCCGTGAGACTTTTGTAAACATTCACAGTCTCAGAAACCCACAGGGGCAGTTCTCCCCTGCCCTAGGAGGTCACTATCAAGTCCAAATTGACTCCAGGCAGTGAGTTGAACACATTTATTTCTTCTATAACCCTGGAGGGAGTGGGGCTCCGAGGAGAAGAGGCCGGCTCCTAGAGCAGTGTTCCTCCAAGTGGGTGATACCGCCCCCTGCAGGGGTGTTTTTTTATTGCTGTGACTGACGCGAACCTTTAGCTAACCTTACTGAGCATGACAAACCATGGATAACCTTGAGAAGAATGGGGATCCCAGGACACTGCCTTCACTGTGTTCCTGAGGAACTTGTACCTGGATCAACAGGCAGTCGTTGGAACAGAACAAGAGAACGCGGCATGCTTTAAAATCAGAAAAGGTGTGCGACTGGGTCGTCTTCTCTCAGTCTGCATGCTGAGCAGATCATCAGAGACAGAAGCTGGCTTATGTGACGAAGAGTGGGGCATCGGGATTGGAGGAAGGCTAGGAACAACCTGCGATAAGCAGGTGACACAACCTGGCTTGCCGAACGTGAGGACTTGAAGGGAGCACTTGCTGATGAAGGTCGAGGATTGTGTAGCTTTCGGTATGGATTTTAACTCATTATAAAGAAGACCGACATCCTCACAATTGTACCAGGAGGTCACATGACGATAAATGGAGAAAAGGTTGACGTTGTCAAGGATTTTCGTCTTGCTTAAATCCACAATCAATGCTCATGGAAGCAGCCATCAAGAGATCAAAAGATGAGTTGAATTAAATAAATCTGTTGTACAAGAGCTCTTGAGAGTATTGAAAAAGAAAAAGATGATACTTTGAGGACTAAGATGTGCCTGACTCAAGCCCTGGTATTTCCAATCTCCTCATGCCTGTGAAAGCTGGTCATTGAAGAAGACCGAAGGGGGAGGGGGGAGACAGGGAGGGGAGAAAGAGGAGGAGGAGGAGGAGAAAGGATGCATTGAAGTGGGGTGCTACAGAAGAACACTGAAAGCACCCCGGACTGCTAAAAGGGCAAACCAGTCTGTCTCAGAAGTGCAGCCAGAGTGCTGCTTAGAGGCCAGGATGGGGGGACTCCATCCCACCTACTGGGGCGTGTTGTCACGAGAGACAGGCCCCTGGAGAAGGCCATCATGCTTGGTAAAGTGGAGGGCAGCAAAGGAGAGCAAGGCCCTCCGGGAGGTGGGTGGACACAGTGGCTGCAGCAACGGGCTCCCACACAGGAACAATGGTGAGGCTGGCGCAGGCCTGGGCAGGTCTCCTTCTCCTGTGCATAAGGTTGCTATGGGTCGGAACCAACCTAACTACAAGAACAATGATCGGGCATCGTGAATTGGGAAGATGAGAGTCTATCTTGTGGCAGGCTGTTCCCCCTCTAGCATTTTAAATGCCCTGGTTTGTATCAGAAATGACCTGGGCAACATTCACAAAAGACAAAAACAGCTCCAACACCCATCCACGGTTGAATGGGTAACAACATGTGGTCTATACATACAATGAAATGTTATCTAGGCCTAAGCATGCAGTTCTAACACGCTAAAATCATGGCTGGGGCCTTGAGAGCATGACGCTGAGTCAGATCATCCAGACCCAAAAGGACGAACACTGGTTTTGCTTCCCTCACAGGGAGCTCCAGGAGGCCAGTGCATCAGACAGAAAGTAGGTTAGTGGTTCTCCTGGGGAGCGAGCGGGGAGTCGCGCGTAATGGGTACAGAGGCGGGCGACGACAGCCCTTTGGAAACAAGGTGGTGGTGCGGGTTGCCCAGTATTGTGAGGATAATTGATGCCGCCCACCGAAGGTGCACTAAATGACTACGGTGGCAAGCGTTTGGGGTCATGTACATTTCCTAGCACAACAGTAATAAAAATGGCATGGTCATGTTGAAAACGTGAAAAGAAAGCGATCATTCTCAGTCCCACTCCTCTAAGAAATC